GGTCTCTGTGTATCTGACACTTGACTCTAAGTTTACAGCTTGGTAAAATAATACCACAATACTTCCATCTGTGAAGTGCAACATTACCTGTAAATACAACAGCATTTTTTCCCCTTTAAAATGTATTAGACTTTAGAAATTATTTTTATATGAACACAGTAGATGAAGAAATGAGAGACATGTCTTTTTGAATTAAGACTGAAAAGTTAATACCTGTTAACATTAAATAATTCAGTCCAAACCGGAGCTGGGCACACTCTGGTTAAAGGTAATTTTTAGTCCTAAATCCCTGAGGACTAAACAGTCAAATATATGAATGGAGGGTGACTTTTAAAGGGAAAGAATAACAGATGAGGATAACAAAAAAAGCTGAGAGGAGAAAGAGAAATGATGACAGGAAGATAAACAAGCTGTGACACAAACAAAATTTCACTGAAGAATCGTGTATGAATCAGGAAACTGATAGAGGGAGAGCGAGTGAGGGAAAACATTTATTCTTGGAGGACGTTTAAGAAAGCTAAATATATCACATCCAGGTGCAAAACCAATTCCAACTTAACACAGACTTTCTTTGAAAATGTCTACTGTCAGCAAAGCTAAACTAGCTCATTTCTGCTGTACTTGCTACAGACCAGTAAAGGAAACCCACACTCGCTCTCTCTCACACATGCACACACACAACACCGCCAGCAACTGAGTTCTTAGGAGCTAGGAAAGTGCACTCAGGCATTTTACAGTATTGAGGTCGGCCTCAGCCATGTTTTGCTGAGCTTCATCAATCTCAAAGAGCTGTTACCAACAAGCTGAGAGCAAAGGGAAGGTTTGGAAAGGAAGAGAACTGAAAGCAGCGGCATTAGGGAGAGGAGGAAAGGAGAACTGAGGGAAATAAGAAAGATGTGTGAGGAGTGAGGTGGTGTGATATAGCAACAGAAACTGAGGATGAAGGAGAAAAAGATGCACAACAAGAAATACATTTTATACATAAGCTGCTCACAAGGAAGTAAAGGAAGAAGGAGAGGTAGAAGAAAAAGGGGGGTATGGAAATTAAGTAGAATAATAATATTAGAGGTATGTAAAAATGCAATTTAATGCATAAAAAGATAAATTGGAAATATGATAGGATGAAAAACAGCTTTAAGAAAAAGGAGGAGAGAATGAGAGGGATAGAAAGAAAAGAGAAAGAGATACCAAGGTGGAAAGAAAATAAGCAGCTTATTAGAAAGGGACTGGGCTGGAGATGCAGAGAAAAGGCAGCAGCAGCTTTTCCTCTGCTATCCTCCTGAGAAATCTGTGGATAATATGTTGCAGAGGAAAAACATTTTGCTTACCGCCCCTTAAAAACAGGCTTAACTAGGGGAAACCAAAAAGCACGGCGGAGAGAGATAAAACGCTGCTGCTGCTGACGGCAGTCGATTCTGACGAGGCGCTGGACAGAACTGGGTTGGCGTCTTTATCGCCTTATTTAAAGTAACGTGGCATTTGGATTCACACAGACTTAAAATATCACTCGGGTGTTTTCAGGACTGGATGTCGGACCAGCGGGAAGGAAACCACTGCAACCGCAGTATCATTTGTTGCCCAACATTAAGGAGAAGAAGTGATCAAATCAGAAAACACTAATGGAATTTCTATGGTTTGTGAATTAAAATGACATGTCAAAAGGAGCTGGAGAGAACAATCATGGCCTCATGGGTACACGTGAGGCCATAAGTTACACACAGCAAAACTTCCTCGCTGATGTCAGAGGAGAACAGCTAGACTGCTAGAAGAATTAAGGTGTAAACAACATGAAAACATAGATCTATACAGTATCAATGGATGTAATGTATGATGTAATGCTGTGGGGGATCATTTCTTTGCACACTTTTGGCCCCTTAGCACCAACCGTACATCATTTAAACACCCATCCTACCTGAGTGTATATGCCCTTATTTTCACTTTAACCTTTTATGAATGTTACCACTCCAAATGTGACAAAAAGCACTTCAGTCTATAAATGACTTTGGGTCCACAGACAGCACCACCCCACCGTAAAGTACTTCATATCCCTGCTACATGCTAGAGGCTTCAGGCTACAATATGCATGCCAATATATAGCTCTACACCAGGAATATCCCACTCCAGGCCTCGAGGGCCGGTGTCCTGCAGTTTTTAGATCTCACCCTGGGTCAACACACCTGAATCAAATAATCAGTTCATTACCAGGCCTCTGGAGAACTTCAAGACATGTTGAGGAGGTAATTTAGCCATTTAAATCAGCTGTGTTGGATCAAGGACACATCTAAAACCTGCAGGACACCAGCCCTTGAGGCCTGGAGTTGGACACCCCTGCTCTACACCATTAAACACTTATATTCATATAACTATAAGTCTATAAATGGTACAAGTGCTCCTTTGCAAGCAAAAATAAAAGGTGAATAATGCTCACCAACACGAAAACTAAAACAGTGCTCTGATTCAACCTAAAAAATGTGCACTCAAATAAAGAAATGCATCTTATCAATGTGATTTACTTGAGCTCATGACAACTAGCTTAAAAAACTTCCAGTCAGAGCCTAGATATTTTAATTATTCTCTTTTTCAGTGTAAAATGAAGAGAATACTGTTGCTGTGCGACAAACTGGCTCACAGTATGAAGTCTGAACTGGCTGAAGCAAAACCATGTGGCTTCAAAGATAGCTGCACACGTAGACATGTTTCTTATCACCATGTTATCGCAGTCATACTTCCACCATCACGGAAGAAGAAGAGGCGAGAGAACGATAGAGGGAGGCAGGGAGAGAGAAGAGAAAAGGAGAAAGAGAGATGGAGAGAAAATGTCAAACTGTCTGGCCTTTTCTTGGCAATCCCACCAAAGATGCCTGTCTGAGAAATTAATCTTCTGTCATCTTTAGATAGGAATCTCACACTTATCTGTCTCCAGCCAAACCCCGGTTCCCCTTGTCATTCTCGCTTTCACTCAAACCTCGCTCTTTCTCCTTGCATTTATGACACCATCTCCTCTTATTTTGACTATATATCTGTTGAGATATTTAAAGTATAACTATGTCTTTTCTTAACTTCCAACCTTTTTGAGGCTCTTTCTCTCTCCATTCAAGCCATTATCCCCTGCTCGGTCACTTATCTTCTATCTCTAGCCCTCTATCGTTGCGTCTAGCCCACAGCTCAATGCGCTGACATATACACACGCAGACAGCTCAATAGGCCGCTTTCACACAGCTATCAAACTTTCCATTCTTCTGTAAACTGTCATATTGTTATCAGCAGGACTGTGATTGTATTTTAGGTCTCTTCCCTCATGGCTTTGGATGTGACACTGTGTGGAACCGCACATCTTATCTACCCCATCCCTCCAAAAAAACCAAAAAGGACTGTATTTTTGAACGCAAACACCAATCCTTTCAAACAGGAAATGCAGCTGAAATCTGAACATCTATATTGCAGTGTGATTTAGCTGGTGGACAATACAAAACCATGTCTGTCTGATATTGCGCTGCGGTCCACATTTTTTTCCCCCGTCCGTGGACAATTCCAACTCAGAGTTTATCTTGTGCTGTTGCGATGACCTGCTGCAGACTGCTCAAGTAACTCACAGACCTGTCTCTTAACTTCCTTCTCTTCCTTTCTCTCTAAATGTATTCAACCTAGCAATGCTTCTGTACGTGTCCTTTAACAGAGTGTCGACGCAACACCACAGATAAACCACCTGATAAATGAGCTCTTACTGACAATACATTTCCCTCTTCCCATTTTCTGACACTCTGAATAGGCCACCTGTCCAAGGGGGTACCCCGCCTCGTGCCATATGACAGCTGAGATAGGCTCCAGCACTAGCATGACCCTGAATTGGACAAGTGGTTAAGAAAATGAAGGAATGGATGGACGGACTTTTATAAAACATTAAACTAAATTAGGCTGTTCATCACTTATAAAAAAGGGCCATAAATCTTGAGTAAATGGCCCCAAAGTTTTCTCTATCTATAGCCTTTAATACACATACACAAACTCTTCCAGGCCTGGAAAGGGAATGCAGGAATGGTAAGTTCTGGGCAACTTATCTGGGTGCATTCGGTACAGACTATTCACTGTGCCGTCCACAAACGCAGGAAAAAGCTTAATCATGCAAAGACACCATATTTGAACAAGGTCCAGAAATAGCGCTTCTCTGTTCTGCGGGCCAATGAATTTACATTTCAGCTTAGAAAACATGGACGCTGTGTCCTAAAGAGGAGAAGGATCATCCAATTTGTCATCAGTCTTCAACGCCAAGGTCTGCATCTCATATGGTACGGCGGTACATTGGTTCTTATGGAACTGGCAGCTTGCACAGCTGGAAATGTACCATCAGTGGTGAAAGATCTATTCAAGTTTTACAGCAACATAAGCTCCCATCCATTGTCTTTTTCAGGCAGGGCCTTGCATATTTCAGCAAGGCAACGCAAAGCTGCATACTGCAGCTTTTACAATAGGATCCTCTATCAGACAAGAACGGGAAAACAACACTCTCTCAAAAGTCTAGCAGCTGCTCTCCTCAGTCCCAGACGTTTACAGACTGTTGTGAAAAGAAGAGGGGATGGCTTAACCCATGTTGATGCCATCAAATTAAAAATAACTCTAGTTTCGCCTGAAATGGTACATTTCTTCCATGTTTTTTTAATCCATTGTGAGTAAAACATTGCTTAATGGTATTTGGAAATCATTGCATTCTGTTCTTAGTTATATTTTACAGAGCTTTATTGGAATTTGTCTTGTCCTACAAAACAAACAAATCAAAAAGATCAAACCAACCCAAAACAGAAAAACGCCTTTATAGCAATATTACTCCGAATAATGTCTCAGTGACTCATAATTCATTGGTGGCTTTTGTTTGTGGTCAATAATGAAATCCAGGAAACATGAATGCATAATGTAAATTCATCATCAAATCAAAAAGCATCACTGACAGACTGAGAGGGTAAGAGGGAGGGATGGGAAAAAGGAATAAAAGAAGAGTTGCTTACATGTTTCTCTCCTTCAATCCTTTTGTCAGCCTGTTGAACAGCCTCGAGGTACTTAAAATGCAACTCCATCAGTCGATCAACCTGGAGAGAAAATGAAATAGAGCAAAGTAGAAAAAAAGTGAGAGATGCAAAGTGGAAAAAAGAAACATAAAGAGGACACTACAAAGCAGCGCAAAAGCAGGATGAAGCTCTGCGAGCATATATGGAAAAATTCTAACAGGGACAAACAAATTCCACCTTCTTAAAATGAAGTAACAATAGAAAAATACATTTCCAATTTCATATTTCTTTTTATATGTTAGTATGCCACTGACCATCCCCTCATTTATTTGGCTACAGACCTTTTGCAGGGAGTAACCTATGGAGTGGCAAACAAAGAGAAGAAAACACAAGCTTCCCTTATTGCCTTAACATATCGCCAGACGCTGGATACAAACCTTAAAAGCTGATTAAAATGAGACTCTAGGTTGCCTCAGTAGTGAGAAAGCTATCGACATTTGATTTGTACCACAAGCATTTTCAAAAAAAGTCATGCATCCAATAAAATGGCCTTGAGCCACAGGCTGAATATGACACATTTGGGCACATGTGAGAAGGATCGTGGGAGTTGAGGTGGGTGGTGGGAGAGTGTGCAGTGTGTCGAGCTGTCAGGTTTGACATCATAATTGCTTTCTCACATTCTGCAACATATGGGAGACGGTATACACAGGTACAGAGTGACTCGATGACCTCGGTGTATTTAACCTCTCGTAACGTCTTAGAACTAGTTTCTGGAAAAAATAGAACTACTGCAGACTGGTTCAGGTAAAGGTGTTCCCCAAGTGTGTGGAAGCTGAATGGCCTTCTAATGTGAGTATGTTATGAAAACAAGATCTGTGGCAAAGCCCAATCGTGGATACGCTGAATATTCAGGCTTTCACCTTTAATCACTTTTGCTTTATTCGTTTCCATGTATACTAACCTTTTTAGCTGTGGTGTTTCTACCAGTTTCAAAATAGATTTTTTTGTTTTTGTTTTTGAAAGAAAACATATGTAGTCTATCTATGATTAAAAATTATTTCCAAGAGTAATAATTTATACATTCATTTATACATGTTCAACATTGTTGTCATGAAGTTAAAGCTAGGCAGCCAGTGTTTTGTTTTTGCGTCGTTTTTACTGACCACACAACTTTAATACTAAATGAAATGTCACTGAACTTGCCTTTTTTCCCCTTTTGATCCTCTACAGTTGCTGTAAAACATTTTGCATTGCAAAGACCGCTCAAAGTTACGACTGGGCGTAAGTTTTGTTGATGCAGCTCACGTAAATTTAAACTAAAGACTAGTTTGAACAAAAACTAAAGATATTAGGAAGAGGCTTGGGGGAAATCAGTTGATGTGACTGCCATGTGAATTTTCTGACTAATAGTTAAAAGCTTCTTTTGGCTGCTCCCTCACAAGGGTCGCCACAGCGGATGGATCTGCATGTTTGATTAGGCACAGATGACCTCCAAATGTAATCCTCCCATTTAAGTGGGCTTGGGGCCGGCATGAGGAGTACACAAACTTGTGACCCCATGAGGCTGGGATTGTATCTCCTCCCAGTCCTAACCAAAGAGAATATGTAAACCACTACACCAGCAGGCTCCAACCCCCGGGTCATGGACCGGTAACAGTCCGTGAGTTGTTTTGGTACCGGGGCGCAAGAGTTGAGGCTTGGGTGCAAAATTTATGGTTTTTATCGTTAACTCTGTTTCCCTGGGTCTTTTCCTGTGTTGTAGTTGTGTCTTATTTTGAATGAAATATTTACGCATTACCATAGCGACAAGAGAGCATTAAGGGGCAGAGAGGAGGATGTTAAACTCAATGTTGTTGGCGCATTTCAGGATGATGCTGCTAATAAAGTTACACAATTACACAGTGAATTCGTGTTTATTATTATATTTACAAAATACCACAGTTTTTGTCTTGGTCGTATCATTTTATTTTGTTGTATTTATCCGCGACACCTTAATGGCCGGTCCATGAAAATATTCTCTGACATTAAACCGGTCTGTGGAGCAAAAACGGTTGGGGACCGCTGCACTACATCATGGAGCACAGAGAAATACACAACTACCAGTGTCCAAAAGGGACAGATGATCAACTCTTCCCAGTTCCGATAAAATGACTTTAAATGTCTGCAGATACAGAGTACCGAGCAGCACTAGAAGTATTCAAAACGATATTTCTTTAAAAATGTATAACGCAAGATCAGGACCTAAAGATTATGTCACAAAATAAAATACACAAATAAAATACATTAAAAAAATACCCCCAAGAATATACATTTAGTAAACTAATAAATGAAAACAGTACAAGGATAAAGAAAATAAAAGATTTAAAAAAATTTGATTATGCTTTTCATCCAATATTTTTTCACTTGTCTCATTGACTTAGAGTAGGGTCCCTGCATGCTGCTCTCATCTAGGGGCTAAACATTATATAAGATCAAATATTAGCAAGTGTGGATGAATCACAGAAAGAGAATCCAATATGGAAAGCTTCGTTGCCTGTAAGTTTCATTCTAGTATTTGGGTAAAAACCTGTTGAAAAACATATGACAAAGTGCAGAATAACCCTTGCTGTAAGGCTACTTAAGCTCAGTCATGCTGTAGTAGTATTCAGAGCCTTCTCTCACCGATCCTGACACATTTGAGTCAGGATTGGACCATTATCTACTCCTAATATTGATCAGTGCGTTTCTATTGCACAGAGTACAAAGCAATTTTAGAAAATATATTTTTAAGTCATTTAAATTTAGGAAATACAGTACACCTGCTCTGAATAAAAAAACAAAAAAAACAACTGGTAATGAAGACAACAACACAGTCTGATGAAGCACTCAAAAACATGAGATGCAAAACAAAAAGGGGTTGCAAGGCAAGAAGAAGAATGAAGAAACCAGCAAGACGACAATGATACAAACCTTCTCACAGTCGTTCTCCGTGAACTTGCTGAGGAGCCTGCTTCTCTGCTGGGACTTGAGATTTCTCAGCATGGAGGCGATGATGGAGCAGACGTGCTCTGAGAAAGAGTAAAGTGAGAAGAGAAAAGCTCATCAACGACACAAAATATCTCTCAAACATCTCAAGCACGGCATCGCTTCACTGAAGACCTCACAGGGGTTTACAGTAAGCTTAAAACCCAACAGGTGCATGATCATTCACCACAGTTACAGTTAAAGCAAACAGTCTCAAACTCTTAAGAAAAAAGAACCGATTACAGCAAAGCTCATTCTCACCCACATCCACAGAAAGGACAAATCGATTAGCACTTGATAATTTGCAATTAGAGCACGCAGCTGGCTAAGCGTGGATACTCTTACAGAGAGTGCACAGAATGAGAGGAGGGAAAAATGTTAATGAAATTTAGAAATCAATTTTCATTTTAGGCCATGCTGGAACATGCTAAATGGTTTTGGCTGTGGCTGAATTACATTTATCGGGGTGATAGAAATTCGTCTGTGGCAGCTCTGGGGCCATTTAGCAAGCAGGAGGTCTAGAAACATGTTAATTGACTGAATTAGCAACAAACACCAGTTAGTCACATTGAGTGCCCTTGTTAGCCAAATTCATGCTATGTAAGACGTGTTATCTCATTCAAAGACCTTCTTAGTCACAAAGCGGCACCAAAAGGCAACAATCATAGCATAATATTGCTCCATGATATTGAATGGGAAATACAGTGTACACACAAGGGGGGGGAGAGAATATGACATTGTAAAATCTCTGGATATACAGAGTGGAGGGGGAAAAAATGTAATTGGACTTTATCAACAAGAGGTCAATATTCTCTCTCAACGAGGCTTTGCAGTTGCTAAGCAACAAGAGTGCAGGAATCAATCCCATTTCTACTTTTTAAAAGGGGTCGTATTTGCTGTCAGCTCCCTTTGTGCAATCCCCTATGACCCGCAGGCTCTCTACCCACAAGAAGTGAAGGCTGGGAACACTTAAGGCTCTAACACCTGCCAGATGTAGCCTTTTCAGAATATAGAAATATCCATCAAAAGCAGAGGAAAAAAAAAAACGTGTGAAAATGAACTAGCGTACAATGCAAAATAAACTGGAGTTGCAGTGTTTCAGCATGGCAATTCAGCGGAAATGTAAAATGTAAAAAAAGCTAAAAATTAAACAATAAATGTGTATTCCTGCTAAATCTGCAAGCCAAATATTTGGTTATTTTAACACTTCTGTTCGCATCTATTGCTCTTCTATCAAACTAAATCCCTCCAATGTTTTACATCAAACTTCTAATAATTTACTCAATACTTCTGATGTAATTAAAGTCCCTGAAACTGTAGCTTTGTGCTTTAATTATGCCTCTAAGCAACCAAATATTCTTGAATAAAAAACAGCTTTTAGTTATTTGTTGACACAGAGAAAAGGTAATGTTGGTGATAAGCCCTATATGGGTATGGCTTAATCAGGTGTGACATACGGTGATGGCAAAATAACAACACCACGGTTATATTTTGATTCAAATATTATTAAACTCTGATTCATTAAAATTTGAGAATTCAATACGTGAAACTTTCAAGGCATTCTGAATTCACATTATCCATATCTCAACAGTCATTGCAAGAATGCCCATGTCTAAAGTAGACCAACTTTTTGATTTATACTGCTGTGATATGTTTGTTTACAGGAGTAAATTAAGGATTAATTAACCATACTTCAAATTTTGACACACTAAAATCACCTCAGTACTTCTATTAAAATCCTTTATATCATCATGACACATCAGAACAAAGGAAAAAATAAATGAACTATTTCTGACTGGTTCAGAGGTATCACAAGTATCTGCTCAGGCTGAACATCAGGACGGTTCAGTCCAAAGATCCCTTATTTTAATGTAGACAGCCTTATTTCCTGTACACAAAGACAAGGAGGCTAAATGCCATTTCCAAAAGGACACTACTTTATCAACTTGATCCAAGTGGTAATTGATGTCACCACCTCCACGCCCTGCCGGGGAGGCTATTGATCGCTGGCTGCAGAATGTTCTTTCCAAAGAGTTTAAAACTAAGCAGAGACTGCTCCTTTGAGATTTGTGAAGGAGGTGGGAGCGGGATTACATTGTGGCTACCAGATAAAGGGCAAAGCTGAGTAAAAATAAGCTTCCTCATCTGTCTTAGAAAAGTGTGCAATCAATACCTCATTTAAATGTTTTCTTTCAAACCTCCTTCAGTATTTCACTATGGGAAGCGCCCTCTGGCGTGACCAATCACGGAAGCGCCACTACCACCACGCCTGTTCAAGACAGACCAATTACTTCAAGGACAAGGGCCCCCCCAACCCCTGGCCCCCACACTAGGTATTCTCACTTTCTTCCCTGTAAAGATTATAAGAGCTCCTCAGCGGTCCTCAACCAGGACAATCTGTTCATTGACGCAGCCATTACGGTTGTTCAAGAACGTGGTTTTTTTTTTTAGTTTTCGGGAACATCTATTATGCTGTAGCTTTGTATTTTCATTGAGGAAATAATAGCAGTTGTCGCGTTACTGCTAGCACATCCTGTGCCTTTGGTAGAATTGTGGGTATGTACTAGGGGTGCAACGATACACAAAATTCATGGTTCGGTTCGATACTCTGGTATCACGGGTCGATATTTTTTCGATACAAGAAAACGTTCATGCCTTTTTAATTTGTCATTTATTAAAATTATAAATATATATTTTAACTCAAAAGTATGGTTTTTAAATGTAATGTTGCTGAAACAACAAATTAAAAAAATAAATAAATCTATCTGATCGAGAAATCACTCATCTTTGGAAAAGAGAGTTTATTACAGAGAAATGGCTCTTTCCAAAATAAAAACTATACTATACGCTTCTTCTGGGCTATATTCTCAGCAGCATATTAAACATATCAGGTCCCCATAAGGAGAATCATGTGCTAACGGCTGTCTAAATGACTCGGGTAAAGTTTGTAGCATGCATGCTTGTTGTTTTGTCTGCTTCCACTTGTCTTTGCACTAGGATGATGTCGGTGTAAATGTGCAGTGATATTCGTTGTGTTCCCACTAGTGCCGTCAGCGTTAATCTCGTTAAAATGACATTAACGCCATAACGCAGCAAATCTCCGTTAATGAGTTACCGTGGATCGCCCCGTGCGTGGGGCTGGACCGGGTCAACACGTTAACAAGCTAACTGTGCTAACGCACTAGTTCCCACCAATTGAGCATTGCGTGGCACATCCGACATACTGTTTTTCTTTTGTCCATGACGCGCTTACCTTCAGGGTCATGCTTCACATGAAAACCAAGATAGTTCCAAACGCCAGATCTGAATGAGGGTGGGGGAGGTTCAGCTTTGAGCTTAGCTTCTGTCTTGCTAGCTTGCGCTGCGCTCAGTGGATCTGCACTCGACAGTGCAGCCTAGGCACAGTAGCTGAACGCAGATTCACTGAGCACTCAACACAGACAGCATTGTCAGAAGAAAAGTTGATAAAATAAATAAAATTTTTTGTATTGTTCAATACATATGCGTACCGAACCAAAAGCACTGTATCGAACGGTTCAATACCGATACGAGTATCGTTACACCCCTAGTATGTACGGACATGTTTTATTTTTTTATGAAGCCAGACATAAAGCCAAGAGAGCAGTGTGACTGGACCTTGTTTCTGAACTTTCGTCCCCCGGGTTAATTAGCTGCCAGGGTGGAGGAATAGCAAGCACGCGCAATCTATTCATGAGTGTTAACAACCGTTGCCAGGGGCTACAGGCTACAGTTTGCAACGAAACCAACCATTTACAATGGCGTGGTGGGTTCAATGGCTACAGAGCAAGCCAAAAAGGCTTTAGAGAGCAAAATATCCTCTCTCTTAAGCTGAGGAGCGGTATCTAGGCTTTTATTCCAGACATTTCCAAATTCCGAAAAGGTGGGGGATCATTTGGTCCCATTCTGAAATTAACGCTCCCTCAGTTCTCACCTCAGAAAATACAAATTCAGAATGTTGACACAAAATGTGTTGTTTCGATCTATTCACATCGATAGATCTACAAGACACTCATTTCCACGTTTCCAGTGCTGGATAAATGCTAATTCTTTAGGTTTGGGTTCCAGGGCATAGCCTACAAATAACTCTGTTTTGCAACAGAAAGCTGGTCTCATTAACAGCTTGCTTGCGTTTAACTGGACTGATTGTTTCGGTGATTTCCGTCATTCCCCCAGGGGCTGTCCTCGCTGCAGCTGGATGTGAGACGTTATCTCAGTCATATGGCCAAAATTTCTCCCCGAATGTCTACTGGCTCTCGGTCACTGGAGGGACCCCAAACTGTTCACTGTTGGTGACCCTTTGAATACCGTTATTATGAGGAAAATTGACAATGGATGCTACATTAACAGGATAGGGGTATATTTCCGAGGGGTCCGCCGTAAATGACACCTCGCTAGAAATTACTTGGAGCTGGCAGCAGTTTTTCCAACGCTGAAGTGTTTTTTGCCGCTTCTGAAAAGTTGTCATATCTTAGTTAAAACAGACATAATAGCAGTTGCGTATATACACCGTCATGAGGAACTCGCTCTGTAACTTTGCACAGACTGACACACAGCCTGATTACGTGCAGCAGCAAACACCTCCTGTCATTACGCACGACACACATTCCCAGTGTGTTGAACACCATGGCACATCTGCTCTCCAGAGGGAATCAACTCTACTGGGAGTTTAGACCCAATTCAGAAATGGTGCAACAGCTGTGGGAGAGGTTCGGACAGATCTGTTCGCATCACACAAAAATGCACAATGTCCTCTGTTCTTTTCGTTAAGAAACAAGGGCACGCCATTAAGAGAGGATGCACCCATCCTATTGCTGGCTTTGGCATCAGCGAAAACAGTGAGTGATTTGCATGCTATGAATGACTTATCTATGTCCTGTTCCTGTCTGCAGTTTGTCCCCCATCCTTATAATAATTTTATAAGGTGGCTCTGCGCCCCTGCCTTCATGCCTAAGGTTAGGGAGTCTACCTATAGCTGCCCCAGGATCTATCAGCTTTTCCTCTGCCATTTGTTGCTGAGAGCCAG